GAACTGGGAGAACGGGGCTTTCACTTTCTACTTTACACCCTTGGATTATTTATATATTTTATCCAAGTTTACTATAAAATATTTTAAGATGCAATACAATTGTAAAATTATTGAATTCAAGTTTTTAAGTTGTTTTTATATCACTCTAGTGTTCAAATTGACAAACCAAAATAATTTAAAATTATGATTAACCCAAATACTACTTAGTGAGGATGTAGTAGCACTCTCCTGTAAAACTACTGGGAGTCTGAATCTGGCTCTCAAAAGCCTTAAAATGTTCAAAACCTTTGCTGTAATCCCTCTTCTAGGTCTCTGTTTCCTTTTTTGTTTTATTTTTTGTTTTTGTTCTTTTTAGACAGAGTTTCACTCTGTCACACAGGCTGGAGTGCAATGGGGAGATCTTGGTTCACTGGAACTTCTTCTTTCCGAGTTCAAGCGATTCTCCTGCCTCAGCCTCCCAAGTAGATGGGATTACAGGTACACACACCACCACGCCCAGCTGAGACTGGGTTTCGCTGTGTTGGCCAGGCTGATCTCAAATTCCTGACCTCAAATGATCCTCCCACCTTGTCCTCTCAAAGTGCTGGGATTATAGGCGTGAGCCACCGCGCCTGGCCTAGGTCTGTTTCTAAGGAGAAAAAATGTTGACAAAGATTTATAGATGTGCCCGTTATTTATTACTGGGAAAATTTGGAAACAAAATGTTAAGCAACAATTGAATATCAAAACATTATGTCCGAGTGCAGTGGCTCACGCCTGTAATCCCAACACTTTGAGAGACTGAGGCAAGAGGATCACTTGAGCCCAGGAGTTTAAGACCAACCTGGGCAACATGGTGAGATCCTATCTCTACAGAAAACTTTAAAAATTAGTCAGGCATGGTGGTGTGTGCCTGTGATCCCACCTACTTGTGAGGCTAAAAGGATCACTTGAGCCCAGGAGGCTGAGGCTGCACTGAACCATGATCACACCACTGCATTCCAGCCTGGGCGATAGAGTGAGACTCTGGCTCAAAAAAAAAAAAGAAAAAAAGAAAAAGATCTGGCCGGGCGCGGTGGCTCAAGCCTGTAATCCCAGCACTTTGGGAGGCCGAGACGGGCGGATCACGAGGTCAGGAGATCGAGACCATCCTGGTTAATACGGAACCCCGTCTCTACTAAAAAGTACAAAAAACTAGCCGGGCGGGTGGCGGGCGCCTGTAGTCCAGCTACTTGGGAGGCTGAGGCAGGAGAATGGCGTGGAACCCGGGAGGCGGAGCTTGCAGTGAGCTGAGATCTGGCCACTGCACTCCAGCCTGGGCGACAGAGCGAGACTCCATCTCAAAAAATAAAAAAAACAAAAAAGAAAAAGATCTAACTGTATGATATTATGTAGCCCATTGAAATGTTTGTAAAAGCTTTTAATAACAGGAGAAAACACTATCTTTAGATTCTTCAAGAAAACACATATGGCCAGGCCGCGGTGGCTCACGCCTGTAATCTCAGCACTTTGGGAGGCTGAGGCAGGCAGATTACGAGGTCAGGAGATCGAGACCACGGTGAAACCCCGTCTCTACTAAAAACACAAAAAATTAGCTGGGCGCAGTGGTGGGTGCCTGTAGTCCCAGCTTCTCGGGAGGCTGAGGCAGCAGAATGGCATGAACCCGGGAGGTGGAGGTTGCAGTGAGCCGAGATCGCACCTCTACACTCTAGCCTGGGCCACAGAGCGAGACTCCGTCTCAAAAAAAAAAAAAGAAAAAGAAAAAAGAAAACACGTATTAAGTGAAAAAGAAATGAGAATACCAAAGTTCTTTCCTTCTTTCTCCGTCCTACTTCCCTCCCTCTGTACTTTCTATCTTAAAAGGAATTTTGCCAAGATTAACAGGGGTGCCCATAAATGGTGCTTTTTAACTTTTTGTCTCTGTTGCTTTTGCTGTTCTCTGTATTTGCTATAAGAAACAAGTATTTTTATAATGGCAAAACAAAATTTAAAAAACAAAAATGCATACTATTCCCTAATTCCATCCCCCTACCCACCAGATTATCCATTAAAAATAAAAAAAACAGTTTCCGCCAGGCACGGTGGCTCACGCCTGTAATCCCAGACTTTGGGAGGCCAAAGTGGAAGGATCACTTGAGGTCAGCCGTTCCAGACTAGCCCAGCCAACAGGGCAAAACCCCATCTCTACTAAAAGTACAAAAATTAGCTGGGCATGGTGGCGCACACCTGTAGTCCCAGATAGTTGGGAAGCTGAGGCAGGAGAATCACTTGAACCCAGGTTGCAGTGAGCCGAGATCACACCACTGCACTCCAGCCTGGGCAATAGAGTGAGACTCCATCTCAAAAACAAAACGAAACAAAACACGCACACGGCCGGGCACAGTGGCTCACACCTGTAATCCCAGCACTTTGGGAGGCCGATACAGGCGGACCACCTGAGGTCGGGAGTTTGAGACCAGCCTGACCAACATGGAGAAACCCCGTCTGTACTAAAAATACAAAATTAGCCGGGTGTAGTGGTGCATGCCTATAATCCCAGCTACTCAGGAGCCTGAGGCAGGAGAATTGCTTGAACCTGGGAGGCATAGGTTGCACTGAGCCGATATTGCACCATTGCACTCCAGCCTGGGCGACAAGAGCAAGACTTCGTCTCAAAAAAAAAAAAAAAAAAAAACCACACATACACACAAAACCCAGTTTCCAAAATTTCAGGGAGACTGATTTGAGTAATAATACTATTCTGGTCTCCTGTTTAGCCAGTTTTGCATGAATTAAACTCTTTCTCTGTTGCAATTCATCTGTCTTGATGAATGGACTGTATCCAGGCAGCAAGCAAAATGAACCAGTTGGGCAATTAGACACATATACCCTCCTTGGCTTCAACAGAGCCAAGGAGCTTTAAAAGCACTCATCTGAGGACTACATTCAACACTTCTTTCTTCTCTCTCATTTTAGGAAAAGGCAAAGAGCAACTTTACAAACTGTTACAGTTTTCCATCATCATTTGACTGCTGACAAGAAGCCTCTTTGAATTCCAATATACACGATCATATTTTAAAACCTTCAAGACACCATTTAATCAGGAGTTGTAAGGCACATTTGTTAGAGAGAGCTGCACTTTAAAAATTATACAGACATCACCTGAAGTTATTAAAGTTATCAAAACATATAAAAACCTTCAAGTAAGAGGTATGCGTATTAGCAGCATTTAACTAAAATTATATCAATTAGCATATTTCAATATCACTTTTATAATAGGGAAAAAAAGGTGTACATTTTTGTTCATCACACACACACACATACAAATAGAAAACTTGAATATCATCAAGCCTGGCCACAGTGAAAATGTTATATATATTAATATAAAGGCACTGGGCAGAAATGTTTACAATTACAATTTGTTTTTTTTCTTTTCACCTATCTTTTTTTTTTTAAGATAGGGTCTCCCTCTGTCACCCAGGCTGGAGTACAGTGGCACGATCTGGCTCACTGCAGCGTCCACCTCCCAGGTTCAAGTGATTCTCATGCCTCAGCCTCCCAAGTAGCCAGGATTACAGGCACACGCCACCATGCCTGGCTAATTTTTGTACTTTTAGTAGAGACGGGGTCTTGCCACGTTGACCAGGCTGGTCTCAAACTTCTGACTTCAAGTGATCTGTCTGCCTTGGCCTCCCAAAGTGCTGGGATTACAGGCATGAGTCACTGTGCCCCGCAGAATGTATGTTTTTAAGTGAGACTGGAGTGAATCTTTGATTACTCAAAATTCCATGACACCAGTTATTAGATTTAGACGAGATGGGGTGTGTTCAGGGTGGTATGGCCGTAGTTATTAGATTTAGAAACCCATAAACCTTAACAAGTCAGGAAAAGACAGAAAAGCTCATTGGTCTCCCAGTTACAAAAATATCCCACTTTCAATAATACCTTTGTGGAAAAGCAAGAAAATGGCTGTAGGAAAGGGACGAGAAGACATCTTTGCTCCTCTGAGTAAGGAGTCAGTCATGTTTGAGTAGTGGAGTGGAGGTGGTGGGGAGAATTATTGTTAACAGCAACAGCTTTCTAAAACCTGCACCCAACTTTAAATTCCAGGCTACTCCCCAGGAAACGTGTGGAGCCAGTGAAAGGAAGAAAAACAATGGAAGGAAGGCTCGAAAAGTTCATTACAAAACTACAGTGCTTTGAAAAATATTTCAAAGATATTAAAATGAAAACTGATTACATGAAACAATACCTTAAACTTCTGTTTTTCTGTTAAAAGGTTCACACCTATCCATTTTGGGTAAGCTTACAATGAGGTATTTATTGCATATGGTTTTTGCCATAACAGAAATCTTAAGAGATATTCTACGTTTGTTTTTTTTTTTAGACAGAGTTTTGCTCTTGTTGCCCAGGCTGGAGTGCAACAGTGCGATCTCGGCTCACTGCAAACTCTGCCTCCTGGGTTCAAGCAATTCTCCTGCCTCAGCCTCCCGAGTAGCTGACATTATAGGCATGTGCCACCATGCCCGGCTAATTTTGTATTTTAGTGGAGATGGGATTTCTCCATGTTGGTCAGACTGGTCCTGAACTTCCCACCTCAGGTGATCTGCCCGCCTCGGCCTCCCAAAGTGCTGGGATAACAGGCGTGAGCCACTGCACGCAGCCACATGTTTTGTGAAATAAAAGCACGTGCATTAAAAATTGTAAGCACGGGAAAACAAACAACCCTTAAAAATGTGGATATGTGTGTTTACGAAACCAGCTTCCAGTCTGTTTGTTATATATTCATGGGCTGGTCTGATTGACAGGCTGAGCTTCAGTCCACATCCCAAAACACTTGTTCACATAAACTCATGGCTCAAATACTACACTACCGTCCCTGCTCTTTCACTCTTGTAAAAGCTCAAACGGCTTGTTGGTTTTTGGTCGAGTCGTCACAGAGTGGCCGGTCCGCAGGCAAAGGCTTGGGTTTCCCCTGCTTTTCTAAGTCACTAAAGCCCTGATTAAGGGCTGGGTTAGGTAAACACAGCTGCACGTATGGAAAAGCCTAAACTCCAGAAAAATATATTTTTAAATGTCCACTCAAAACCCAGGTAGACTCTGTAGGCTCAGCAGAATCACTAGGTCAGCTTAGAAGCAACAGGCAGCGCCATCTTCACGCTCAGTCTAGTTAGTTCCTCGTGTCCCTTTGGGCTTCTGTTAGTTTCTGGATTAGGTAGCGCTTGTCACGACTTTCCTAAAAAATAATAGGTTCACATGTGCATTTAATATATTTGGAAACAAATACCATCATTACCTACCCCACTGGCTGAGGATTCTAACCACTGGACTATTGTAATGACCTCTCATCTGGTCTGTCATTGTGTCCGCTCCACAGCCCCTTGTCCACAAAGCAGCTGATCCTTTTTTTAAAAAATGCACAGTACAGCCGGGTGTGGTGGCTCACGCCTGTAATCCCAGCACTATGGGAGGCTGAGGCAGATGGATCACCTGAGGTCGGAAGTTTCAGACCAGCCTGACCAATGTGGTGAGAGCCCATCTCTACTAAAAATACAAAAATTAGGCCGGGCGAGGTGGCTCACGCCTGTAATCACAGCACTTTGAGAGGCCAAGGCAGGTGGAGCATCTGAGGTCAGAAGTTTGAGACCAGCCTGACCAACGTGGTGAAATCCCATCTCTACTAAAAATACAAAAATTAGGCTGGGCAAGGTGGCTCACGCCTGTAATCCCAGCACTTTGGGAGGTTGAGGCAGTTGGATCAGCTGAGGTCAGGAGTTCGAGACCAACCTGGCCAACATGGTGAAACCCCGAAACCCCGTCTCTACTAAAAATACAAAACATTAGCCGGGCATGGTGGCGGGTGCCTATAATCCCAGCTACTTGGGAGGCTGAGGCAGGAGAATTGCTTGAACCCAGGAGGTGGAGGTTGCAGT